TGTTCCATAAGGAGCTTGAACTATTAAAAAAACCCCACCAGATCAGTCCACATTCTAACTTTAAAAATTGACATTCATATCACACTACATTAAATAAAAACCAAATGAAAAGATAAAGAAACAGAGTAAAACAAATGGCAGACAACTTCAAACTTCAACAGCTTGTGTTTTGTTCTACAACCTTTTTGCTTTCATTTTTTAGTAGATATGTAAAAGCTTTCTTCCTGTGTTTCCAAAATTGAAAATTTTCTCTAGTTAATATTTTAAAGAATGGGGATGGGTGGGGGGTGGAGGGGAGGTGTAAGTACACTCGATCTAGTCTCTGTTCCTATGATGGAAACAGTCAGGGATAACATGAAAAAATTATATGGTAGAGGTATACAAGATGGATACCAGAAATTAGAAAATACTCTGTAAAGATGAATATCCTTTAGTTGAAATTAATTTTTATTGTGTTTAAATTTATTAGAAGACTTTGAAAGATAATCCTGCTAAACATCATGAAAGGTGAGTTATCAGTATATCACATAAGATTACCAGGAACTTAACATTTTGAAATGTTCATCCAATACATCAGCATCTACTTTCAAGTTTATACTGTGTTACCTAGTTTGAAAGGATTTCAGATTTTCTGCAAAGCAACTGTACTTACATCCAAGTACTGTTTTACTATACTCCTCTTCACTTCTTCAGTGATCTTGGAATTAGCCATATCACTCCGTAGAAAATCCAGAGTCTGTTTTGGATGGAAATGAACTCCTGTCTTCCTGTTTATCGCTTTATCATAAACTTTTGCAGATTCAGATGGAGAATATTTCTGAATTTTACTGTTTAAAGACAACAAAAGGGAAGAGCTTTTAAGGAAAGTCCAAAGCAATTTCAAGGAAAAGCTTTTAAAATCTTCAATATAAGTAGTTATATTTTAATTATTCTGTATACAATAGACATCCTGGTAAGAAATAAAATCATTGCTTCTTCTAAGCCAAAGTTTCATTACATTCAACCTATTACATTTATGTTTTTTCTCTTATACAAACCTATTGCTTAAAAAATTATTAACAATCAACTTTAAAAAAAACAAAACACTTCCAAACATAATCCTTACAAAGAACTCGCTAGATAACAAGATGGCCTATTATCTAAATATCCTTACCTATCAGAGAATCCACAGAGGTTCTTTAAATGCTGTTTCAGCATCAAAAGTAATAATATGCCTTGGGAGATATTTGCAAATTCAATTAAAGGAGCTGAATTTTCTGGTAAACATTTCATCACAGCATTTATATCATTTTCTTCATCAGAATCTGAATCAGAGTCTACTCGTTTCCGTAACCTCCGAGGCTTAGAAGCTTCCTCCTCACTTTCACTCTCACTACCACTGTTACTGTCACTCTCAGTCTCCTCGTCTGACGAAGGCTTTCTTTCCTTTTTTTTCTCTTTCACCATAGACTGCGAGACAGAGAAGTTAACACACATTCCAAAATTAGGGTAAGTAGCATCATGTACATTTCTAAAAAGTCTTTCCAAAATCATTATTGGTTTAAATTCAGAAAAATACCCCGATCAATGTTATTAATGCATAACTTGATATTCAAAGATTAAAATTATTTACAGCAAAAAGATGTTGAATTATAAACCAAGCCCCCTGAAAAATTGGTCCAAAGTCCACATTTTTTTGCAAGGTGGTTACAGAACTGAAGCAATAAGTACTCCACTGGCATGTTATTCTTAAAAAGACTGCTCAAGTTTGTTAGCGGAGACAGTAAAATGCAGTAGAATGCCAAATACAATAAATCAGGAAGAAAATTCCATTTTTGTTTCATGTGAATATAATTTTTGCATGTTACTTATATTTCCATATGTACTTTGGTACAGACTAGTCCAAGTTGGTTTTAACCCTTGTCTCTGTTAAAATTCTATGACACTAATTACACTGCTGACCAGAGAAACCCCCAAGTCATCATATACAGTATTACTAATAATCAGTCTACTACTTGTAGAGCTACAGAATTTCACACCTGCATTATTACTACACATAGTATGATTTTTCATAACACAGAACTTAAGATGCCCCAAGTAGGATCTCATCCTCTATATGCTGGTGCAACACACTGGTCCCCCATCTAAAGAACGTACTGCCTCTTTCTAGCACATTAAAAATTGACTTCGGTAGGGTGAGAATTCAAAGCGGTGTACTTTCCAGGTATCAACTCTGACTTGTACTAACTAGTCAGATTGGAAATTCTAGAAATGGGTTTGTTTCCTGACACTTTGGACCTTCAACTGTTAAAGTTGTCCAGGAAATGAAGACACTGAAGTCTTTAAGAAACAGAGGCCTTTTTCTTACAGGGCTGTGTATTCCCATAACAACAGATACTATACCATTATTGGGGCTATTATATGCTACCTTAAGAAAAGACATATTGCGCACTCTTTTCTTGCAATAAACAATGTATTTAAAGTCTCCCAGGCGACACACATGCAACTGCCATCAGCTACTTTACAACAAAAGAAACAGCAAACTGGATTTTATTATTAAAATTATACAAACAACCACAATAAACCAATATTTCATTATGATTCTGGGTTCATGTACTTCCCAGATGCATGCAATTAATATTAATTCCAATTAATTCAGCAATATTAGGGAATGATATAGATTTAATATTAAGATCTCAAAGTTTGTCAGTCTTTTTTAATAACAGAAGCAGCGATGTAAGGAAAGTTTTTAACTAGTGTCTACCAGATGCAGGCCAGAACAGAAAGGGTTGTTTGTTTTTTAACTACCAGTTACAAAGTAATGCTACTGGTCCATATCACTGAAAAATTGACCAAATTATAGAGAAACTTATGTTACCACCATAATAAATATACTAAAATATAAATGCACATACCTCTTTAAATGACTGTAGTAGGTTGCTACCAGAAACTGAAAGTGTAATGTCTATATGATGCATTATAAACAGTGGCTCTTCCTGTGTTTGGTAAGGAAAACAGGCTAGATTGTCTGCTATGTACAAGAGCATATTCACCTCTGTTTTCTGGAAGTTTAAAAAAAAAAAGTACATATAAATATACATACAAATATCTTAGATTTATACACTTATCCTGTGTTCCTAATGGTCTAGAGCAAAAACACAAATTTTATTCTACATACCCCCCAAACCCACTCTAAACAACATGTATATATGCAAAATTTAATCATACCTGAAGATACATTATTTCTGATCAATCCAAACTGAGTACAGAAAGGTACAGAATGATGCAAAAGTAACAAATGCATTCTATTATATAGGTAAATACCTTATATTACAAAGCAAAACAAGGTTCCTTAGGTAAATAGAGTTATCAGTAATTATGTCATAAAAATACATTGTAAAAGGAGAATTTAAGCTTGTATTGCTATATTTTATTTTCTTTTTAAGGGAAGGAAATGTGATGCTTACTGCAGTATCATCAAAGAGGTTGAGTAAAGAAATTAGAAATGCTCGTCTGTGTTGACGGTTCCCTCGGATCATGGAGTATAGGTGTGAACACAATGCACTGGATGATTCATCATGTCTAAAACCTCTTACAGGATCCTTTGGGCAAGTACTGATTGCCTGTTGTACCTGGTAAGACATCTTCATACCAGCCACTGCTTTCATCTGAAATGGAAAAGTATTTATTTTTATTTAAGCTGCTGCTTTCAAGCAGTAAAACTGAAAGTGGAAAACTACACAAAATGCCTGTCAACAGAAACTGCTAGCTCATTTTTTAGCTTATTTCCTTTTAAGTGGATGCTCATCTGGTTTAACTTTCAAACATGCATTGAGGTGCACTACTACCTTTTAAGTTGGCAAACAGATTAAAACAGAATTTGTGGCAGAGATCAAAATGTCTTGTGAACTGCTTTCACCGTAAATTCTATGTTAGAAACATACAGCTCCTCATACCACATCTGCTTCTGTTTAGCGTAGTTGTCTCTTCAGCTATACATTATCTTAAATCCCAGCTGCCTACATAGTAAATTTCATCTGCTAGCCTTCACCTACTGGATTAGGTATCTGTTTGGATGCCATGAACAGTGCAATGCTCCAATTTCAGTGGAATACAATCAGATTTGGGAAGTCCCACAATGTAGCACACACACTGAACCAAGACTGGGGCCCTCTGAAATAAGGAGAGGGTGCTACAGCTCAATTTCAGATCTTAAGCAGAACTAATGACACTATGCCACAACTCCACAAGTCCTCACTTAGACCTCAGATTTTCCTTTCAGCAAGATCCCTCAGTTCTTAACACCTTCCTATGCTCCTTCTGCTTAGATTACAATATATAAAGCCTTGATGCCTTAATGTTCTAATACATATACACTAAGGACCTCTACTTTTACAAGGTATTCTCTTCCCTAGTCTACTGATAAAGGAAAACATTATGAAACAGCTGTCCTTACCTCTTATCAAATAAATGCTCTTATGTACTATTCAGTGAGGAAAACATTATTGTGAATTATAAATTAAAGGAATTTTTAGACTGGAAGAGATGCTTCAAATTATTATATCCTTTCTATTTCTAAGAATAGA